AATGTTCTCCTTGGCCTCTGATGATAGGACAAGAAGCAATGGGCTTAAACGCGCCCAGGGCAAGCACCACGCATGTGACCCACGCCAGGGGTGGGGCCAGCCCAGATCATGCGGCGGGCGCACATAAATGCTCCAGCAGGTGCCATGCACCCGCGGGCACCGCATTGGGGACCACTGATCTAGACTGTTCTTGGTCCTGCCCAGAGGGCAGGGGACTGGACCTTGTGAGGTCCTTTCCAGATCTAGTATTCTATGCTTCTATGATACAATTAAGCTATGTTTTCAGAACAAGAGAGAGAGGGAGAGGGGGAGAGAGAGACTGTGTGAGTGGAAAATTTAAGATGTGAGGGAAGTGTAAAAGAAAATTTAGTATCAAAATAACACCCTGAGTACTTTACTGATTTGGATTATTCTCTGGCATGTTTAAGTCAATAAACTAAATCTCCATTTTAAAAATAGTATCTGAAATTCCACAATATTTAACCTGCTGTATCAGAGTGCAGTTTGTGCTGTGCAATTTATATCATACTTGACACAGAGTAGACAAGTTTGTTGGACTCAATTTTTTTAAGTATTACAAGGAACCAATGCATAAAGAGATGTGTTTTACTAAGATATCCTTTCGGGTTAGGCAAATGCTATAGGAGCAGATGAGTTTGGGGGAACCAGGTCATTTTTAGCTCACTGAAATAGAATCATAGAGAAACATGCAAATACAGCTTTCAGAACAGTACTCAGGACTGCATGACTCCAAGCAGAAGTTAGTCCAATAAAATATATTTATCTGGCCCAACCCTTGCCTCTCCAAGCCATCTGTGAGCCAAGACAACAGGAATAGTTTTTAAGCTGCTCAAGGGAAAAAGGAAAAAAAAACACCCCAATTCTGTTTCTGTTTCCACAATACTTTATGCAAACGAATTACCTTAAATCTGCCTCTAGCAGAGATGAGTTAGAGCGTGGCAAAAAAGATATGGGTGTGAAAAACAGCAGATGGGTAAGTGGGGTGGAAAAATACACATCTTTAGAGATGCTGAAAATGCACAGTTGGTTACAAACAGCAACTACGTGAGAGCAGCAGTACATAACTGGGGCTGAGAGAGGCGTGAATACAGGCAATAGTGACTGAGGAGTATCAGAGTACTGCTTTCATAATCATCGAAAAGTGAATAAAAAAAGGCATAGCTCAGGGGAACAATAGCGCAGGCAGCAAGACATTTCTCAGCTCCTAGCTTCATTGCACTAGAGTTTCTGGATTTTAGTAGAGCAATTTTGCCACTGGAAAGAGAGAGGCCTGGTCAATGTTTCCACTAATTTTTTTATGTCAGTGCGAGGAATGACTTTGACTTATGTGATACATCACCTCCCTGTGGTGCACATACTTGCACACATGAACAGTGGGTGGCAGGGGTGGTGCCAAGGAGCTGGGGTGCAGGAGAGGGCTCAGTTTGGGATGCAGGCTATGGGGTGTGGCCAGAGATGAGGGGCTCAGGCTACCTCAGAGAGATAGGATTACTGTGCTCTCACCACCGCAGCTTGGGGCCAGGTGAGAGGCGCCTTTCCACAGCTGGGGGAGGCTCACCTGTCTGCCAGCCGGGACAGGTTCAGGCAAGGCTGGATGGGGCACCTGTCTCACAGCAGTTCTAGAGCAGCTCCAGGTTGGGCTTTGTGGCCGGGGGAGAGGTATGGTCCTCTGGCCTCAACATGGAGCTGCGGCGACGAGGGGAGAACTTCTCCCCACTCCCCCGCTGGCCCAAGCATGGAGCTGACAGCCGTGCCTCTCCCCAACTAAATCCCACCCTTAGTAAGGGTGTTAAATTGTGGTTACCTGGCTAATTGTGTATTTAATACCATTTGTATCATCTACTGATTAGTTGAGGGCTGCTCTGCAGAGCTGCAGCAGGGGGAGCTTCCGGAGCCACCCGCACTGTGGCTCTGCATTTTAAACGTAGGAAGAGCCACTGGGAGCCAATGTAAAGGCGCAGCATCCCGGACCAGCACGAGCCAGGCCTGCTCGGTCCTGGCTCACACCTAGTCCAGCAGCCCGTTTGTGGCGGGCAGGAAGGGGCTGCTGCTGGAGCAGCCCTTGTGTGCTGGAGCAGCCCTTGTGCACAGCCAGCCTGGGCCACTGAAGCAGCCTCCCCACTCCTGCCCTTCCACTGCATCTGAGAGAGGTAGTGTCTCCTGCCCCCCCTTTGCTGCCTCTCATACAGATTGAGCTTATCAGGTAATCGAGTAGTCAACTACTCTCTAACATCCCTAACACTCAGGCATTTAAACTGTCAGTTTAGGCACCCACAATCCCAGGTTTGGCTCCACCGGGATCTACCAAACTCTCGCCAAACCCCACTCAGTATGTTCCACTAATATTGAAGGCCACGTCTATGTTAAATGGACTAGACTGGCCTAGGTGCAGCACCATAACTGTACTAGCACAATCCCATAGTGCAAACAATAATGAGGGAAGGGTTTTTTTTTCTGCTGCCCTAAGAAGCACTCTTCTCTCAGCCGGGGTTAGGTTAGCTGTGGTGCTTGGGGCAATGTCATGTTGACCTAAAGTTAAAGTACCAATCAGGCCTAAGTTTCTGCCTTTGGGCGTGTGCAATGGCCAGAAGGGACCATCATGATCATTTACTCTGACCACCTGCCCATTGCAGGCTATAGAACCTCATGGAGCCTCTCCTGCAACACACCCCTAACCTCAGGCAGAGTTACTGAAGGCCTCAAATTGTGATTGAAGCATTTCAAGTTTCAGAGAATGCACCATTTACTATAGGTTAAGCCTTCAAGTGATCTGTCCCCTAGACACCTAAGCCCCAGACCATTCTCACCCCAAGGAAAGACAGGCATTCAGTCCTCTGCGTCACACATGGGACCTAAGCTGACAAGTGAACCCAAAGGCTGCCCACTGAATCTGGTCCCATTTAAGTGTGGTGGTGGTATTAGCCTACCTTGTAGCTTTCAGCTCAGTGATTAGAGGCTTCACTGGGGATATGAGGGATGTAAATTAATTCCACCTTCTATTCTAGGAGAAGGGAGACCCCTGTTCAAAGCCTCCATCTCAGGTCAGCGTTCTAACCCCTGAGCTATGGGATATTCCAGTGTGGGGCTCCCTCAATCTTTGCCTCTGTTCCCTTGTAGATAATTAATTCAATAACCACCAATGGATTAGAAGTTAAAGGAAGGCACCAGCATCATTTCCACCTCATCCTCTCCTGGTAGATTTGCATGCATGTAGATCACATGGTAAGCTGCCTATTTCTTCCCATTCACTGTATTGGAGCATCGGCGTCTAACTTAGGCTTTATGGAATGTGATGTTGTTCCCTTAATTTTTCTAGGAATCTAAATTCCAGATGCCACAGTATTCAGCATTGCAATGCTCAAGTCCCTTTGCAGAACCAGGCCTTAATGTATGTAAAACACCGTATAAGCACTCTATATAATTACAGAGATCAATCTGATCCCAAGCAAGGTATTGATATTCCCAAGGAGGTACCTCTGCAAAGAGTATATTTTGCAATAGATTGCTACACTAAGGATGTAAGCGACCAGTCGACTGTCCAATAAGCAAAAGCTTATCGGATAATCGACTAGTGATGCGACTAGTCACTCCCCCCCTTGCTGCATCTCCATAGTGGGCAGGGGAGGTAGAGGCACAGCAGGAAGTGGCGCGAGTGGGGACCGAAGCAATCTCTGCTCATGCCGCTTCTGCAGAGCTCTTGCTACAGTTCAAAGGTGGAGGCACCCTTATTGGCTAATCAAATAGTTGATGGAAATCCCATTGGCTATTCGTTTAGTTAATTAATCTAAATTTAACAACCCTATGCTACAAATGCAAAAAATATCTCACTAAAAATTTGTGGACTGTGACTGATGGCGATTTCTTTTAGAGGGAGGGTATTAGGGAAGAGAAGCCAAAGATTCCCCCTCCCCCCGGAAGTCCATTTATAATGATGCATGTGACTATCTCTTGCATTAGTTCAACAGAGCCAGTTTCATATCTACTCAATGTGCAGAAGAATTTTAGAGTGCAGTATAAATAGCTCACCTTTTCACACAGTTCACCAGATGATCAAAGCCCACCACAATTCCTATGTTTTCTTGAAAGGACAGAGGGTCCAAAAAGACAGGAAAACAAATCTGTTTTTAATACACTCCCTCCCTCCTCCTGCAGGAACAGTTACAATTAGACTCCTTTCCGCTATCCACTAGTGCAAGAAAGGTATTCAAAAGGAAATAGAAAAACCACACCATTGTCTTCCAAAACACATTTTCATGCACAAACTATGTCCAGCAGGGACTCTGTCGTGGTGTGCACAGTGATTTGGATGGTGTTATCTCAGATGCATTTAATGAGATAGGATCTACCCCATTTTTGTAAACGTTTCATAAATTTTGAAGCAATGCTAGACCTCCACATCTACACCCAGAAGAAGTCAATATGTAAAAGCTTCACTTGACAGAGTTCTCAGAGCTGGCTGCCATGTCCCTGTCACACAGAAAGGGAGTGTTGGGAGTCTACTCTCAGAGACGGATTATTTTCAAGAAAAGAAGCTGCATCACTGAATCTTTTAATATATACAGTACAAGAGTAAGCAGGGTGCTGGCTGCAATGTCAAGCAGATGGCATTCATTTACAACATTTATGCATGACTGTTTGAAAGATGAGAGACCACAAATACCTAGAGTTACAGGAGAGATGCAGACATATTTTTCAGTTTTATTTTCAATGGGAGACCACTGGCATCCCAACTTATCACATCTTCCAGGGAAAACAGAGAGGGACTATAGCAGCTGTGGTACTAAAAGCTGCACCAGAGTTCACTTGGCGTAATGCTTCGCCCACTCCATGGTTGTGATATTCCGGATTCCAGCTACTTTTGCAGGTTAGCGATAGAGCAATCAGCACTAACAGAAGGGAAAAATAATTGGAACTGAAGCACAGACCATGGGATCAGGCTGGTACTGTACATCATTTGTAAACCAGGGTATTATACAAAGCATGGGATCAGGCTAGTACTGTACATCATTTGTAAACCAGGGTATTATACATGGAGCTTGAAACTTGTAATATTAAGTAAAAACGTGATTGAAGTGTGTCTGATGGTTTTCTGGGACAGCAAAAAAGTCAATTCAGGCATAAAACTCAATACCTTCCAAAAGAAGAAGAAAATAAAATCCACCAAATGATCCTGAAATCAACTTTTCCTTTGGATAAATATAGATCTGAAATAGCAGTACAGTTCACAGTGGCATAAAGTTCTCTGATTGCTTGTGTGCTTGAAAATATCTCATCAGTAAAAAAATACCAGAGAGCTGGGAGGAAAACCCTTTCTCTGAATTCTGTACATGGACAAATGCACATGGTATTGGCAGGCATCTGGTCATCGGATCCATGGGAAACCAGCAGTTTTGCAGGGCTGCAGATCACAGGTCAGGGGATGAAGGGTAAGAAGAATAGTAAGGCCCATTTTCCTGTGACAATAAAGGAATGAGCAGTTAGCAACTCTCAAATGCATGCAACTGAGGGCTGAAAAGGCGGCACAACTGAACATTCTGACCACCTTCTCGCAATCTAGTACAGTAGTATCCAAACCTCACCCAGCTGAAAACTGCACTGGCAACTTGCTGGGAGTCTAAAAGTTGCTGTCTCCTGATTTGAATGTAGCAGATCACAGTTGCGCTACCTGAAATCCAAAGCCATGACCTGTTGAGACTGCAAATGCCAGCATGTAGCGTGGCCAGTAAGTCAGCTCGAGATGGCACACTGCCTGCAGACACATGCAATCTGTTCCTCTCAAGTGAGAGCAAATGTGGGTCAGAATGAAATTGAATCACATTTGTCCTGCACTATGGCAGAAATCCATGAGGAAAAAAAGACTAAGAGAACCTAGAGCAGTTCTTCTCTACTCCCTTTCCCTGGTTTGTTAATTTAAGGCTGGGAAGATGAAAAAGTTTGAACCAAGACAAGACAACACAAGCAGCTCCAACAGCAGTGGGATGGCAGACAGCAACAATCCTGTGTGTCAGGTTTTAGGACAATGAACTTCTCAGAACATTACAGAAAACTGCTAAGAGCATCCCCCCTAGTTATTCAATAAGCCATGGAAAACTGAAAACTTAATGAGGCTGTCAGGAGACAAGCAAGGTGAGGGAGAGAAAGAAGCAGAGAGAATGAGAGAGGTGAATACTTTTAAGATCTGCACTTGTAGGGCACCTAGGACTCAGGAGGAGATAGAGCAGCAATACATGTCTTTATCTAAGTTAACAGGCACAATCTGCTATATCAAAGAGTGCTCTTCCCCAAGAAAAGCAAATCATAATGGCTCTAATCTTCACTGTAGAGATATGGGCCCATGAGGACTACAAGTCTGCAGTACAGGCTGCCCAGATCAATGTGGAATGTTGGATCTCCATCTGGATTATTGATTATGTTGGCTACAATTGTCTTCATTTAATACAAAGTTGGTGTGGTCCTTGTGCTCCCTGCTTGCTGATGCAGTTGTTGGCTAGGCAAAGAGGGTGTGTCCCTAATTTATACACAAAAAATAGGAGAAGCCTCCATTGGGTTAATGGGCTGCGTCTGGGCCAAACCCTCTATTCAGAGACTGATATAGATGAGACTAATATGTAACAACCAACTGTTTCTATAAAGTCCAAAGAGAGCTGTTAGTCTCCCCAGCAATCCATCCAGATTTCCTTTTACCAGGGAGTTCAATCTGCTTGACAAAGCTGCTCCACAACTGCATTTGGGAGCATAAACATGCTTATCGCCTAAAACCACTTACCCTGGCATCGTATTCAAGGACAAAAGGAGGGAAGTCAATCTGTTCGGGGGGTATGGCTGTGAACAACTGCTGAAGGTTTTCTACATAGTGGATTTTGTCCTTTAGCCCTGAGACTGTAAAGGTTGTGAAAAACCATGTTGAGACCTGAACACAGAAAAGAAAAGAATTAAACCGATGCCATTTCTGAGTCTCCAAGTTCAACATGTTATTCCATACTCATATAAACCAATCACGCTTCAGCATTACAAAAACAACCCCACTTCAACTGTCCAAAGCTGTTACTTGCACTACAGAGTAGTGCTTTCAAACTCCTGACTCACATTCTGCATCCCTGTATCGCTGCACAGGAGTTGGTGTCTATTTACTACTTCCCATGCTACATCCAAAACTTTGCAGGTTACAATTTGTTTCTTCATTCTACATTCGTCAGATCAATCTCTTTCCTTGCCTTGATTTTAATGCCTGTTAGCACCAGTTTTCACAGGGCAATTCAGAAAAAAAGTGATCTTCAGAGAGGATGCATCATTGGGATCCTGGAATGACTGTTGTGGGTATGCATTCTGCTCAATGGCATCAGACCAGACTCACATCTGCTGTCCAAACCCCATACATTTTAATTTTAGATCTTAACCTTGAGTCTCCTTCAGATCTTTTTATAACAGCAGATTTTCACAGGCACATCCCTGACACAAAGGCCAACAGAACTTTTAAAAGAAAAGTTTTAAATAGAGGCAAAATAATGGATTTTTCAAGCCTCAAACAACTGAACTATTTTGTTTGAAAAGTTTAAGCAAACAAAAAAAACAAATCATGAAGCAAACACTGGACATGGGAAATTTCCTCCCAAATGATTTAAGTTCAGCAAATCATGAGGCAAACACTGGACATGGGCAATTTCCTCCCAAATGATTTAAGTTCAGCAAAGTTATAAGCAAATGAAAAAGGGTTGTTTTTTTTTAAAAAAAGGAAAGTACCGGGCAATTTTAATAGAAGGTAGCACTATCAACCCTACCTATCATAAAATAAGCAGATTAGTCAACCAGTTTTATTCTTCATACAGATGTTAGGGACTAGGGGCTAAAATGCAATGCTGTAACTTAATCTGACCGGAAAGGTGATGAGATCAAAATGGGACAATGCATACTGGGACACAGTCTACTCTGAGCACATCCTTATATTAAGATAAGACAATCAAAGGCCATAAACAGACCATGCCTGTTGTAAACCCTAAATCTAAATTTTCATACTGTTCTTATGTGCAGGATATCCAAGTGCTGTCTTGATTGTTGTAAGAACTGGCAACCTATTCAGTGGTCACAAACTAAGCCATTCATCAGCACAAGCTGGAATTAACCATCTACTACAACTTTCTGATCAGCAAGCATCATCGCTGGCCCAATACGCTTTGTGTTCATACCCAAAAAAGGAAAAACACCAAAACAAAACCTGAGAATTCCAAATGTTAACTAAGTGATGATCAGAAGGCTGATTATACATTACATGCAGTCTGTGGTACAGGAGCTGCTCCTGTGGATGGACAACTCCCCAAACAGCTGAGAGAAGAGAAGGGCCGTGGTATTAATAAATAAAATTAAGGAACCACCACAATTGTTTGTCCTACTCAATTCCAGAAGAATCGCCTACATTCCTATACCATGTTTCAATTTACTAAAATTGCAGGGATGCACCCAAAGCAGAATAATAACATCTGCGATGGAAATGGCCCTGGTCACCAGAGATCAGTTCTATTCTTACTCCCATCTTACCTAAAGTGACAAAGGATCTCTATTGAGGATGACAGGTAAAGTCCTTAGTCTCGCACATCTAACCAAAAGCACAAGCATGCAAAATGTTAATTAGGGCCACTGCTGCCACTTCATTTTCCAAGCATAACACCCTCATCAGAATGTTTGATCCTAGTTGAGACAAAGCAAAAAAAGCAACTCTGCCTTCTGGTCGCCTCTAGAGACCGCAGAACAAAGCAGTACAAATCCTTTTGAAGAGATTAGAAAAATCTGAAGGAAATAAAAAGCTGAAGCCTCGCATAAGCCTCCCCCAAAAGAATTCTTCTTCCACTTTCAACATTATCATTTTATATTACAATCTAGGATCCTGACTGAGCCCACTGCTAGCTCATCACCACTACTCAGTTTCTTGGAAAGGATCAGGACACAGACAGTAGGAGACTAAATCTACATGGGTTTAAGTCTGATCCAGGCAAGATGTTACCACAGCAAATCTGAAGGCTATTTTGGTGGCCTATGTAAATTAATTGGTAGGCTTCTATAAGCTGAACTGTGTGCTTCTGGACTGACCTAATGCCAACAAGAGAAGTGGCAGCCAGTGTCAATGAAGGCTAAATAATGGCCACAAAAATCAAGTTTCCCCCCTGTGATTGTAGTGTACCACATAGGTCAGGTTCAAGACACACTAGCAATGAGATGCATGTGTATGAAGCTTGCAGTGACACTTGTCTTTATACCATAACTATCCTTGAGAGTAAAAAACACCCATGTGGTGAATCACAGTGAGAAAACAATTCAAATGTCTGGGTTCACACAGCCAAATGTTACATTTTAAGCCAGAGAGCAGGAAAAAGGATTAGAGCACCTTTTCTTGGAATTCAACATGGTCTCTCAGCTTTAATTTTGTTAGAGGATACCCCACGGACATACCCCCCCCAACCACACCAGACTGATCTGCTTTATTCTCAGCCTTTCAACCTTTCCAGTTAATCAGCTGCTGTAACAGCTGATGTTTGCCTCCATTCGGTACCTGAAGAATAAGGCTCTGTGACATTGCTCATTCGTGTGCAGTAACCAGCAATGCAACGTGGGTTAAAAGCAACAGAGAGATGAAGCTTAATTGCAGGTCAGAGCACAAATAGTAAAATGGGAAGTGAGCTGCAGTGGCACACAGGGGAAAAGCTAACATACCAGTCACACAAACTGGAAATAACAGTACCCAGAGGTGTGTTAGCTCACGGAAAACACTTATATATCAGACATGGCCTAGTGTTTTGAAGTCTCTCGTGTGACCTTCTCCCCTTGTATTACAATTTTATGCCTTGCTCTGTTTCAGAAATCTGCATTCTTGGTCTTTTGTACAGTATACTTCACCTTTGAGCGAAATGTTGGGTGGACGAAGTACACTGCTTTCAAATTTCGCTTGTACCTGGTTTAAAGAAGAAAGTGAACCTTGTAAAAAAAAAGTAATGAGCTTATGCTATTAAATTAATCCAAAAACACTGTTTAAAGTGTTCGGAGACACTTTCATGCAGAGGTGCTTGTGGTGTTAACCCTCATCCACAGCATTTAAATCCAGGTCAAGGGGCAGCTGCCTTACGACTAAGCAAGACAAAAGAAGCAAACATTTTCTCTGTTGCTAGATAAATCCTAAGATCCTCCTGCCCTCTGTACAGACAAAGAGGATTTACACATTAGTGACAACTATTAGTGCTGTCCGTAAAACTCCTGCAAAATGATGGAGCATCCCAGTGGACAATACTGTCTTTTGCAAACCCACCCGTTAGAGACAGATGGAATGAGTTCATATAAAGTTATATGAGCACAAATATGCCTGCTACTGATTGATATGCAACTGGCAGGGATTGCAGAGACCAGTATATGACACAAGTATGCATGAACTAGAATTACTCTCCTGTTGAGCTAAGGTGCTCAGAGGCTACAATAAGCATTGCAGAAATGCTTAGGAATTGGTTTAAATCATTTGATTCAGAGCAGGAAAGGAAACATGCCATCCTTCCTAATCTTTACTGGTGTTGCTAGACACCTGGGTTTATTTGCCCTTGTGAAATTCTTCCCAGCAACTCTCCTTTAGCAATGGAAGCAAGCTGGACAAAGGGTCTGGCTTATAGGTTTGTATAGGGAGAGGAGTATTGTTAGAAGAGTTTCTCTTCCTACTCATGACACTCACTTGATGTCAACGACGTCATACAGTTTCTTCAGGAAATCGGAGTCCAGATGATTGTAATCGCTAGTGAGCGTGTGGAAGTATACTATGACGTACTCCTTCACTGCAATATGGTCCATGACATGGATGAAGTACAAGAGAGCCTGAGGTGGGAAAATATTTATATTTTCAGAAGAAAAATCTGTCACGGTCCAAATCTGTGTTAACAGAATTCCTCTAACACTAATATTTATTCAGACCAAAAGCCTTAAAACAGGCCATTATAAGATGTCTATTACAAAAACATCATGGAACAGTGAAGTCTTAAACATGAACTCAGAAAGATTACCTGGAGATTCCTACAACCAACCTTTACTTGCTCTATGCCCCTAACCTCCACAACCTTTGGATGAATGTCGGGATCCCTGGCATCTTGCATGTACTAGAAACAAGTCTGCTCACTGCACCTTACTTCTTTGGAGACTCCAGCTATAGAAGCATCTTCGCATTTTTTAGGAAGGAAAGAGAGCCCTATACTGCACTGCTTGAGAACATCCATGCAGGGTCAATGGTCCATCTAGCTCAGTTTCCTATCTTCCGACTGGGGATGTAAAATCCAGGTCAATCAGTTAACCGGTTAAATGTTAGGCAAATGTAACATTTAACTGGTTAACCAACTAAGCAGGATCTCACTGCTCCAGTTCCCCCACCGCCAGCTGGGCTCCTAGCTGCATACTGGGTAACCGGTTACCTGTTCACATCCCTATTTCTGACAGTGGCCAGTGCCAGGTGCCAATGCTTTCTAGAAGAGAATCTTGTCACCTCCCTAGAAAGGTTTTGACACATCTTCACATAACAGTTTATAGAAGATATATTCGAATGCTGAAGTATGCAAGGCATTTGTACATAATTTGCTGTATAGAAAGATTTTACCTCCCTTTGGAGACATATTGCTAAAGTTAGTGAAGCCCGATGGTATAGGATGAGGTAGTTGTACTTAAGGGAGACTGTCTTTCAACCGTTGCTAAAAAAATCACTGGCATAGTTCTATAGTTTTATATGAAGATTTTACCTTTTCCATATCTATCAGCGTTACAGGAATATTCCTTCCAACTACCACCATCACTGTGCGACCACAGTTATCCACACCTACAAAATAAGATGAGCATCACAAGGCTTTTATCTTTGAATCACATGTATAAAGGAGTCTTGAGCTTTTGAAACTCTCCCTTTAAAAAAAGGGGAGACTAACCACAAGCATTCAAGAATGCAAGTTACCAACATTGTAAACAGGAGATGAGTGCAGAGACTATTGCTCCCTTTATGTAGTACTCATTTTGATCTAAATGGAAGGATGCCTTGCCTCATTTCTACTGCTCTGATCCTCAAGGTCATCCAGTTCTTCCTGTAGAATACTTCAACTCTAGTCTGCACTGATGACGCCTTCCAACACGGTCATCAGCAAATTTCATTAGCACATTCCTACCTTTTGTGCCAAGGTCACTAATGAAAATGTTAACAAAGATTGGTCCCAAAACAAACCTTGAGGATTTTCACTGGTAACTTTCCCTGCTCCCCCTTCCTCCAAGTAGTTCTCATTTCAGCATAACCTATTGCCTTCTTTACTTCACTTTAACTAATTCCCTGCCCATCTTGTATTTTTTATATTTGTGACACTGTATGGAATTTGGGGAACACGTTAGGACATTAATGAATATCAGTATGATAGAATGGCAATGAGTCAATGTAAGATATCTGCAAAATTGTTATAATCTGCCAAATATGATAATCGCATTTATATGTTTGTATACCCTTTGTATTTGGGTTACGGTATATGTATGTCCTACAAAAATTGTGCTAAGCTTCTGAGTAAATCCCAGTTTTGGGATGCACTGCCTAGTCTGCTTGATCAAGACATCAAGCTTTTCAGCTGACCCACTGGGACAAGATTGGGCAATAATTTTTGATGGGGGAGGATACCCCAAGAATCTGGTAGGTGGTCAAGGGCCGTACTCTTCCATATATTAATGGAGGAAGTGCAAGGTCTGAGATGAAGGATGGGTGCAGAAGGGAGCTTGGGGTAAGAGACTGGGTGCAGGATCAGGTATGGGATCTGGGAGGGATTTTGGGTGAAGGAGGGGGTTGTGACCTGGGACAGACTGGGGTGCACGGTCCAGGAGGGGATATGCGCACAGGAGGAGGTTAGAGATCTGGGGTTTGACCAGGGGTAGGGATTGGGGTGCAAGTTCTGGTAGGGGGTTGTGACCTGGAGGAAGGGTGTAGGAGGGGGTAGGAGTGCTGGGGGGAAGCAGAGGCTGGGGTGCCAGATGCAGGCTCTGACTGGGAGGTGCTTACCTGGGCCAAGAATATGCCTTATGACTCAGCAAGGCATGTATGGGCTTGCTTCTGGACAGAACTCTAAGGTTGCCAGGCCATGTGCTGGGCAGCTTGTGTTTGGGACACAGGAAGTAGAAGCCACATGGCAAAAGGAATACAAAAGGCAGCTGCATCTTCTCCAACTTGTCTTCATCCCAACTGGGGCGAGGCAAGATGCAGAGCATAGAAGGCTGGCCGCTCGCTCTGCTACTCAGTACACTTCTGACCATAGGCAGAGGCTATAAGGCTTCCAGGCCACGTGCTGAGCTGTTTGTGTTTGAGTCACAGGAATTAGAAGCCACATGGCAAAAGGAATACAAAAGGCAGCTGCATCTTCTCCAACTTGTCCCTTTCTACACACAAAGCTCTGAAAACAGGACTTAGTGACCCATCCAATTCCAAGCTGTGTTTCAGAGGGACTTTCAAGCCAGCAAACTCACCAGTACAGCTAGAAACCTGAAGGACTTTGAAGTCTTTGTAGGTATGTGACTGCTTTGCCATTTAACATCTCTCTTCTTGTTCTCTTTTTTCTTTTACTAGCGGGCTGTGCCCCGTGCTCACTATGCTTGCCAATCTCCCCCGACTCTCCCTTGGGCAGCTTTTGTGGCCAGAGAGTGTAATGACATCATTCTGTGACCCATCAGGAAAAACATTTTTTATATAGAGACTATAACCTTTAGTTTTAGACACTACAGGATTGACTGGCAGCCATGGTATTTTGGGTAAGATCTAAACCTATCCTGACCTGGAAATGTGGCTGATCCTTTGGGGTCAGAAGGACATTTTGTACACGTAAGCAGAGTTTTTTAAAATAACTTCTCATTATACTGTACCTAGGTGCTGACTGGGAGCTAGAGAATTGGCATGCAATAAACATGGTTGTGTGATTTAGTTTTTGGCTTCTTGATAACTAGTGGGGGGGGAGGGTGGTAGTGGTGGTGGAAATGAGAAGTATAGTTTGTGACTAATTGGGGAATTTAACTTCAGGTGTTACCCACCAGTTTTAGGAGTGCCTCCTCTGCCTTTTGCAGCCTGCCCTCATCATGACATTTCCAGCGAGGGCTGCTAAAGTGCCCCCAGGTCACAATATTAACCCCTCATATTTTCCCTCTCTACTAATAAATACTCCAATGACATACCAGATGTCAGCCCTTGAGCTTGGCTTTAGAGATCTTTGTATTTAGGATCCCACTTGAAATTGTAGAATGAGATTTTCTACAATGGATGTCAAATTACTTATGGTTAAAGCCCTGTGAGGATACAAAATTTGTATCAGCACCTGATCCATAGAAAGTCACAAATTTGAAGGGCTCTACTTATGGTCCCAATTCATCACATCTCATTCTAGCTTCCACATGCCAGAAGTCTTGTTTGGCTGTGGCCTTCCTGGCACTCAGGTAGGACAGGCTTTTAAATCTGTCAGAGTAAAACACTTGCCCAGGTTTCATCCTAGGAGCCTTCCTTCAAACAAAGGCGGAAATGGCCTTTCCATTTCCTACTGGTGAGTCCATGAGAAACAGCCTTCAGAATCTTGCACTCACCTGTCTGGTACAAGGCTTTGAGAGAAGCAATGTCAGATAGGTCTTCAGCTCTTGCCTGGCACAGCCAGCGATTGTAACTAGAAAAGTCAAAACATATGCATGGAGTCAAAGCTTTGTCTCTCGTGTGTGTTAGAAAGCATGAAAATGAACCTGGAAAATAGGAGGAGCTGGAACTGTTACACACAGTGCTATAGAGCAATCAATGTTCCACTCTTTTGAGTAAGGAAGCTGCCTCTGAAATGCTACAATGGAAAGTGTTTGAAAAAAGTCATTGACTTTATCTAGTTATACTGTTGGTTACTTTGTTTGGACAATAAATATTCACTTAACTGGCTCTCATTTCTAGCCCTCATACATACTACAATGGCACTGCATTTCGGTTGCAAGCATTTAAGGGGAATATGCACATCCAAACAACACTATTTGGGTTAAATATGTAACAGTGAAAATCCAGAAGTTGGGCCTAGTATGCATTTAAGGTCAAATGTATATAAACAAGTCAGTGCTTCCGCAAACAATGAAAGCCATGTCCTATGCCCAACATATGAGAATCATAACAGAGGACTGGTTCCCTAGAAGGAAGTTAAGCTTATGTCTGATGTGTAAAGAGCAGGTAAAAACACCCCCACAACTGAGCTGAGAAAATAATCAGCATCTCAAAAAATCTCTCTTCTCCCCACCTTCAAGTACATAGGACTTATGACTCAGCAAGGCATGTATGGGCTTGCTTCTGGACAGAACTCTAAGGTTGCCAGGCCATGTGCTGGGCAGCTTGTGTTTGGGTCACAGGAATTAGAAGCCACATGGCAAAAGGAATACAAAAGGCAGCTGCATCTTCTCCAACTTGTCTTCAGGACACAGAGCTTTACAGTGACAGCATTGCTTTATCATGAGTACTTTTACCATCCATATACTTACAGAAAATATATATCTGTATCCAAGATACAGAGAATCCATATTGTAAAACAACATCCACTGAAGTAGAAGACTACTACTGACTTCATTGGATCTGGGTCAGCTCTCAGATATCCAAGAGAAGGGAGACTGAATCCATCTGAAGTAGGAGACCCACACACAAAGTTATTTAATATAAGGAGGAAAAACAATGAGAAAAGAAAAGAAATTGTTAAAAAATATATCATTAATCCATTATCCATTCCTTCTCGTATGTCCAGAAAACTTCATCAATTGGATCATCTCACCTGCCATGTCCACAAAACCATTAGCTGATAGGGAGGCCTAGACGGACAGGGAAATTGACTGGATGACATAATACTTTCTGTCTGATTAGAAGTTCAATAATATAATTTTAAAATTACTTAGGCCACTGTACTGGATGTAAAAAAAGTGATGTAGCTCTGTCCATTCCTTACTTCAAGATAATTGAGAGGAACACATGTCAAACTGTCAGAAACTTGTACACCAAACATCTGGTTCTAATATTATTCTGCTTCAACATGAGTGTAAATTTACTGGGCTGTGAGGAGGCTGTGAAGGCTAGGACTATAACAGATTTTAAAGAGAAGCTAGATAATTTCATGGAGGTTAGGTCCAAAAGGCTATTAGCCAGGGGATAGAGATGGTGTTCCTGGCCTCTGTTTGTAAGAGGCTGCAGAAGGATGGCAGGAGACAAATCACTTGACCATTGTCTTTGGTCCATCCTCTGTGGGGCACCTGGTGCTGGCCACTGTCTGCAGACAGGATACTGGGCTAGATGGACCTTTGGTCTGACCCAGTACGGACGTTCTTATGTTCTTATGTGTTCATTTTTTTAAATTGCATCCTTTGGTATATATGGTTGTGACTATTTTCTTCCACTATTTGATCTGAGGAAGTGGGTCTGGCCCACGAAAGCTCATCACCTAATAAACCATCTTGTTAGTCTTTAAAGTGCTACACAGTCCTGTTTTTTGTTACAGAAAGCTACGATGGGACTGTGCCATCTAGTGGTCAACAGGCAGTACACTTTCGCCAATGTGTCTAGGTCAGAGGTCCCAAAAGCATGGGGTGTCCCCTCTGTAACCTGACAGAGGCTCCTCATGCACCACCTATGTGTCCTCCCACAAGCTGCAGCCCCAGCTCTGTGGGGGGAAGAGGAGGATGGAAGAAGCATGGGGAGTAACCCTAAAAAATTTGGGACCCTGGTCTAGGTTCTGCAAGTATGAAACTAATAGGACAACATGGTCTCACTTTCTCTGATGCTGTTTCTGCAGTGCCGCCTCTGATAACTGCCCCTGAAGGATGAGGCGCCTCTGCTTGTCCACATCTCCTTCCATGCGGGCAAACGCGTGGGAACCAATGAACGAAAGGTCTGCTTCTAGCCCCTCCTCGTCTGAGTAATCTGCAATTGAAACATGGGTGAAGAAGCAGTAAGGAAACTAGAGCTCAAAATACAGACCAGAGAATCAAAATGATGAACATGGGACTGTTGCACCATAACAATGCATCAATAAGACACGACCAAGTCATAAGGGGAATGCAGCCATGACTCAAAAGACACACTATGATGCATGAATTTCCTGTGGTTCCATCTGATAAGGTGCTGATCTCTACTGAACTTTGGAGTTAAGAAAAGGAACCTAATCTTCGCTCTGTTAGTGACGTAGTAAATCAATCCAACTTGTCCCCCAGCAGAGCAGAGAGGGACAAACTAGGGCCTGAAGCCCACATCTGGTCCATCAGCTGTTTTATTCCAGCCTTTTCATCTTGCCCTGCTCCACATACAACTGGAAGCAGCAGCATGTCTCCCCTCTAGCTTCTGCGTGTAGAGGCTGCTAGGAAGTTCCGAACTGCCCCTGCAGTGCCAACTGTATGGGAACTGCCCTCAATGCGAGCTGCAGGAGCAGCACCTATGGGTGGGGGCAGCCACAGAGCCACCTGGCTGTGCTCCACGTGGGAGCTGGCTGGAAGGGGGACATGCCGTTGCTTCTGGGAGCTGCTTGAGATAAACATAGCTCAGAGATTGCACCCCTGAACACCCCTCGCCCTTTCCCAGGCCTGATCCTCCTCCTATCCTTCCAACCCCTCACTCCCAGCACCTCAAACCCCTCCCCTGCTCAACCGTAGAACCTACACCACCAGCCAAAGCCCTCATCCCCTGCTGCACACCAACCCCTTTTGTGAGTATTCATGACCCTCCATACAATTTCCATATCCTGATGTGGCCCTCAGGCCAAAAAGTTTGCTCACCCCTACATTAGAGTGTGATAACAATGAATTATTTATAGGTGCTCCAATAAGTTTAATACTTATAAAGTGCCTTGAAAATATGTTTGCTTTGTAAATGCTGAAAGTATATTCTCCAGCTCTTAATCTAGAGGTGAGACTAGATAATGGTCCCTTCTGGATTTAGCATCTATAAATCAATGAACTCAGTTCCATAACTGCAGACAGGCATTTTGTCTAATGCATCCATGGAATAGACGGATTGGTTTTGACTATTCTAGGGGACAAAAAAGAAAACAGATTTGGAATTCACCATGAGGTGCAGCTCCACCAAGAAGAAGCCTGGAAGTTATATTGCAGACAGGGGTTGGATGTTGCCACCATCACATCAACTAACTCTGACCAGAGCAGACTTTCATGAGATGGTGGAAAAAATGCTTGAACTTATGTGATTTCAAAAGAGACACGATTGAAGTTTCCAGCTCTTCTTCAACCCCCACCCTAACCATTTTAATTACTAAGGGTGATTGGGTATTAGGATTTTGGGGGGAAGTTTTTGTAACCAGTGCCTGTAGAGGTAAGTTTTTGAAGCTTTCTTGAGGGCTCATTTTGGCGTGCCAGAGTGGGGATTAGCCTTGACAGCTATCATGACCCTGGAGTGATTGGACTGACTAAAAACC